TCATCAGCTCCGTTTCTGCAGTTACCGATGCTGCTGAGCCTCGGGGCTTGACGGTGCTCTCACCTGTCCTTTGTCCCTCCCCTCCATCGGTCCCCAGCACTGCTTGTCCCCCGTCCCCATCCCCTGCTGACCAGGCTGTGGGACAGGGGACAGCCACCACCTGGGAGCACGTGTGGGTGAACAGGCGGCTGGTGTTTGTGGCTTGCATTTTGCCTGGGACGTGAGGTTATCGTCCAATGTGGATTCTGAGGGCTGATGTAGGAATTCACCATAGGCATAAAAACTGGATTAAAAAAAATATACAGATGGGTACTTCCAGAGCCTCCCGTGAGGACTGAGCTCTGGCAGGAGAGACTGGCTGGTTCTCTGTATTTTCAAGCTGTTCGGCTCAGTGCAGCCGCTGAGCCACAACTCGCTGCTTTCCCTTTCCTTGCAGCTACCAGGATGGCTGAAGTGACCACTGCCCCCACCGAGACGCACACTCTCCTGAATGAGTACGGGGACTACCACAACTGGTCCGAGCTGTTCCACCTCCTGAACTACACCTACACCTTCTGCGAGTTCAGCCTGGATGAGAACGTCAAGCGGGTGATCCTCTTCATCCTTTACCTGGTCATCTTTGTGGTGGGCTTGGTGGAGAACCTCCTTGTCATCTGGGTCAACTGGCAGACACGGGGCAACAAGAGCTTGGTCAACCTCTATATCATCAACATGGCCATCGCTGACCTCGGAGTGCTGCTCTCGCTGCCCATCTGGATGCTGGAGGTGATGCTGGATTACACCTGGCTCTGGGGCAGCTTCCTCTGCCGCTTCACGCACTACTTCTACTTTGCCAACATGTACGCCAGCATCCTTTTCCTCACCTGCCTGAGCGTGGATCGCTACGTGTCCCTGACCAGCTCCTCCCTCTTCTGGCGTAAGCACCAGCACCGCGCACGCCGCATCATCTGCGCCTGCAGTTGGGTCTTGGCAGCAGTGATCCCATTCCTGGAGGTTGCTCACATGCAGCTGGTCAATACTGGAGAGCCCATCTGCATCTTCATGGCCCCCTTCGAGACCTACGACGAGTGGGCGCTGGCGGTCAGCTTGGCCACCACCACTATTGGGTTCCTCATCCCCTTCCCCATCATCACCGTTTTCAACATCCTGACGGCCAGGTTCATCAAGCGCACCAAGCCGGAGAGCAGGAAGCACTGTCTGCTCATCTACGCCTATATCGTCGTGTTCCTCATCAGCTGGCTGCCCTTCCACATCATGCTCACGCTGCTCACCCTCGACGGCAACCACATCATCCTCCACTGCACCTTCGCCCACTTCCTCTACTTCTTCTACGACATCATAGACTGCTTCACCCTGCTCCACTGCGTGATTAACCCAATCCTCTACAACTTCCTAAGCAAAAACTTCCGCAGCAAGCTCATCTCCGCCGTGGTTAAGTACATCCCCAAAGACCAAGGCAGCCAGAAGGGTGCAGACAATTCCTCCTCCACCACGCAGCACTCCATAGTCATCACAAAGGACAACAACCCTCCCAATTAAGGGGGATCGGGCTCTCCCACTCATCACTGGCAAGTGGTTGCGGCTGGGGGAGCAGCTCCCTGCCCTCTCTGAGATCATAAGATTGTTTTTCCTGGTGATAAGCAGACACTTTGCTTTCAAACAACACTTCTTGGCTGGCCACCTCCTGTGCTCTGAAGGCAGGGCAGGGTGCCAAACGTGAAACGAGATGGTGCGGGGAGCTACAGACATCTTGCCTCTGATGTGCTGCTGTATCAGATCTATTTAGCTAAAGAAAGAATACAAGAAAGAGATATTTCCTGTTTTCCAAAAGAAACACTTGCAGTAATAAAGCGCATTACTTCACCTGCTTAGAAGTCTGAACACAAACCCGGCCCCTGCGACCCGACCCCCATGCCCCCCGACCCGCGGGGCTGGGGGCACACGATCCTTTCCCTTCACCACAAGTTTTTGTGCAGCCCCCGACTTCCACTTACACTCGTGCTGCAGAGGTGTCCGGCGAATGCTGCCGCTCTGCCCTGATGCCATCCCAGGCAGGAGAGAGGAAATTCATTGCTTTGAAACACAAACCTCTCCTCCCATGCCCGGCAAATGGCTGAAAGCCTGATTCTACAGAAATGAAGGCAACGCGACCCTGAGGGGCTGAGCACGACACAGACCTGAGCTTTAATGAGGGGAGGAAGGACTGGACAGCAGCTCATTGAGAGCAATTTTGCAAACCCAGCCGTTAATTAGCAATGGTTAAAACTGGGTTTGACTGGGCACCGCTGCTTTCAAACGTGACCAGTGGCAGCAGAGGTGGGGTTCCCAGCTCGTGGTTTGCAGCAGGAGACCCATCCCATTAAACCCAGCCTCCTTTAGAGCATGTCCTGGCAGGTTTCTAAGGCCACTGGGCGCATTTCTAAACGCTGGCAGACTCCGGCAGCCCTTCACGCGTGCTCCCTTTCAATCAAAGTCACACTGAAGCACGCCCCGTGGGAACATGTACGCGTGCAGAAACCCTCGGAGCTGAAGCGCGGGCTGGGCTTTGGCTGCGTAAGAAACTGGAGCATCCGGAGAAAGTTCATTGTTGTCCGGATTCTGCTAAGTTACGTGCTGCGGGTCAAGCCCTCGGCAGGGGAAGGTGAAGGAGCGACAGGCACTGGAAGGGAGTTCATAAATCTACCAAAGGCCTTGAGCTGCTCAAGAAACACATTTTTAAAAACGCAAAGCATAAGCAAATCTAGGGACAGGATGCTCGCAGCACAGAGCGCTGGGTGGGGAGCAGGATGTCCCGGGCTGCGGCAGAAGCCCGTGACCAGGGGTTAACACGGTTATCACGGGTCTGGCTGGGAACGGCTCTGCTGTTTACAGGGGTCCTGTGACAGGGTAGATCACTAAATACTTCAGGGCTCCTTGTGCACAAAGACTTCTTACTACCAGGGGATACTAGCGTTGACAGAAAAAGCCAAATCCGTCTCTTACACAGAAATATTTTGTACCGCAGCTGGAGAAGAAGCCAGTCCCCTCAGACACAACAGCACCCTGTTGAGGGAAGCAACACACGGCCGCTCTTCTTCCTTAAATACTTACACACAGTTCCACAACTTGAGAGTTTAGAGCCACTCAGACTGTGAGCCCTCCGGGGCAGAGGCTGTCCTTCGGGATCCGCACCGACACCGGACCTCACCGCCTTTTTCCCTGTGACCCCCCTGGGCACAACGCATGCAGCGAAGCCGAGCAGCCCCAAAACTGGCTGATGGACACGAAGGCAGCTTCACGCTGAGACGACCCACAGCTCTGACCTGAATCTTCCCTAAGGCCTCCTTTTGCTAATACCCTACCATCTTCAGTGAAGACATGGGAGACAAGTACGTAATAGCAGGACACTTGAGGTGTGGCAGCAGGACAGCAACATATTCAATTTCAAGTTACTTAAACATGTAAAACTTGGTATTTGACCTATTAAACTTGTGGTTTTTTACCTCTCCTAATGCATCCGCAACTTTGTTCACAGACCTCAGGGCCAGAGCAGCCTCAAATAAACCCTCATACACCCCACGCAGTGATCCGGGCTTGAAACCCAGCAAGTCCTTTAGCTGGGTCCCTCAGCCTCCCTTTAAAGCCTTCACCACCCCGCAGGGTAAACTGGCCCAGCCACAGGCTCCTTGAGCAATTTCTGGCTGCACACCCCCCGGACCACCCTCCCGGCTTGAATCTCCAGTGCCCACTGCTGGTCACCAGCTGGTGATGGGGAACTGGCCCTGTCCCACCGGGAAGCTCTCCCAGAGCAGCTCTGCCCGAGCAGCTCCAGCGGCGACTGAGACGGGCAGCCCCGGCCGCGGGGCCCAGCAGGCAGGTCACCCCAGTCCCGAACCGAGAAGGAAGCCTCGCTGCTGGAGAAAAGCTAAAGCAGCTCTTGAAAAGGCCAGCAGCGTTTGCCCGCTGATCTGGCTTGCCAGCCAACAGCTCCGAGCCTGCGAAGCTCCAGGTCTCGGGGAAACACAGCTCTAGCAGCACAGAAAGGGCTTATCAAGCAACACAAACCCTGAGAATTTCCTAAATTGTTTCTAACGAGGGCTCTGCTCCCAACCTGCTGTGGAAACACCGCAGAAATGCCAGAGTCGGTTCTCCCCGCGCTGCTCCGGGTGCCGGAGGAGGCGGCGAGGAAGAGGCCCCGGCCGCCTGGACTCGAGCCACGAATCCTGCCGAGCACAGCACAGGAGCAGGACACCAGGAACGGCTCACGTGCTTTCCCAGGCACTCCTGAAGAGACAGAAATGCCAGTCTGCACATTTAAAGCAACAAGTTTTATAAAGAAGCACGGTACAAGAGGTCAACATTTTCCATTTTATTATTCTAAATAAAAACCACACTTTGTGCTGAACAATGGAGTATAAAAGAACCCGATGTACAACGATTTTAGACATCTACTATTTGGGGGGAAAGTTTACAAAATATACAAAACTTTACAGCAAATAGATAGTAAACACTTAAATATCAGGAGGTCAGTACCTACTATTAACTTAACAAAAAGGTTAGACAGCAATTCAACTCTTTTTCTTCTGCTTAATTATTCTGTTAAGAGACCTGGATCCTTTGAGAAAGGGGAGAATAAAACTGAACTTGGCGGTTTAGAAGTTGGACGAAGCCCAGTCCCGAAGCACTGCCTTTTGGAGGGGGATTTTCTGTCAGGGTTTCCGGCGAGGACCCGCGACCCGGCCGCTCTCTGCAAACGCCGCCG